TTTTTAAAAGAACAATTCTTATTAGAAAAATGATTCAATATAAATATTTTTATCTACCCTCCATCCTCTCTCTCTCTCTCTCTCTCTCTCTTTTTCTCTCATCAGATTTACTTGACCAGCTCTATTTTTAAGTTAGAACATTAAGAACTTTTTTTTTCTCATTCGGATGTTTTTGCTTGTTTTAATTTCTATAAATTGAAGTGTCTTTGTGCAACACGAATATAAGACAAAGCAACATTTTAAAATTCTAATTTATCTAATCATGATTGTAAGGTAGACGCTTTACATTTTTATTATTTTTTAAAAAATGAAATTTGTCATGAAATTATTTCATGCAAAAAAAAGCTAAAATATAATAAGATCTTAAAAAAATAAATCAAGTCTGTTCAATTTTGCAGTTTTCCTTGTTTTTGGTATTTTTCCTTTCTACATAAACCTTATTCCCAAAGTACAACAATATTCTTTTATTTAAAAATTCATAATTATGATTACGATTAAAAGTTTTTTTTTTTTTTTTGATCATAAAATATCTCTTTTATAATCTTTTATAAATTCATGCGAACATGCAGCTGAAACAAAGACAATTAAAATAATGATGTCCTGTCTCGTACCCCTGTTACATCAATTATTAGTTATCAGAGTTATCTCTCCTATTTTTATTTATAGAAAATACAAATAATCTTGACTATCGTTCTTACACATTCTTGCTAGATTTGTAGAAAAAAAAGTGGAAGATGTATGTTTCAAGATTTGTACAAACAATTCAACAACAGTTTAATTAAGCAGTATGTACTGATGAATCAATGTTTACGTGTGATCGACGCGATCGCGATGTATATTGAGAGTGGTGGAGCGGATCTAAAAGAAGTAGGAAGACAATTTTTTTTTTTGCATTTATTTACGATATGCCCTGTGTAAGATGTATTCTAAAAATGGTATAAATATGTAAATAAAATATATCTAGAGTTTAAAGGTTCATTATCCTATCAGAAAACACCTTGTCTACAGCTTCTTTACATTTAGTTACGCATGTAGGAAAACTTGGTATTATTAGAGACGTATTTAATAATGTTTGTTAAGAAACCAGTTCTAAATGTTTTTATTTACATCTTTTAAAAATTAATGGATTAGGAGATTCAGATATTGATTAAATTAATTTGTAAATGAAAATAAATTCCACGTGTTGGAAACAGCGATAAAAACTCTGGATGCGTCAAACGTCAAAACACGTGGTTAAAAAATCTGCGTCGAAGTTCACCGTCATTCTGCAACGTCACATCTTTATGACGTTATTTCTCTGTTTTAGCAGAAATGCCATAAGGACCCTTTTGTCATGGGCGCAATCAAATAATACTAGTGAGACATGACTGCAATTTGTCGCAAATATATAAAAATTGAAATAAAATTCTTTTTTTTCAATGAACACATGTATAATTAGTTTTAATCATATTGTACAATACTAATTTAGTTTTAATCATACACTAAAACATCAATTTGTTTTAATTAATTACACCAATTGAAAGATCTTTATCTGGACTAACCATCAAGAACTCTTAATTAACACAACAACTATGAGGCCATTTCTTTTTGCCCAACTCCCAAGAGATAAATTTAGATAATCTAGAGATGCTCTAGCTCCTACAATTAACTCATTAATTTCTCTCTAATTTGACATGCAAATTTCTTCTTGACCAGTGCTTGATAATTAAGCCCATGGGACAAACTGAATTCCTCTCAAAGCATAAACATTTGTTACAGATTGCTGTAAAGTAAGTTTTTACTTAATTTAATGTTTTTTAATTAGGATACAACTATATTTTTACATTTTTTTAGGATTATGAAATTTAGAATTTAAAAGACATAGTTTTTTTAAAAAATTCATTTTCATTAAAGGTCACAGTGACCTTGAAATAGGCCGCGACATACGTACCTTCTACTTTAGATGTATACTTTTGTGAAATTTGAAAGCTCTAGGTCTAATGGTTTTCTAGTTATGAGCCAGACAGGATTTTTCCATTTTTTGCTATAGCACCTTTGTTGCAAATATATGAAAATTGAAATATAATTTTTTAAATTAACACATATAAATTAGTTTTAATCATATTATACAATACTAATTTAGCTTTAATCATACACTAAAACATCAATTTGTTTTAATTTCATTACACCTATTGAAAGATCTTTATCTGGACTAGCCATCAAGAACTCTTAATTAGCACAAGCAACTATGAGGTCATTTTTTTTTCTGCCCAACTCCCAAGAGATAAATTAAGATAACATCTGCATCAGATCTAGAGATGCTCTTAGCCCTTGACAATAAACTCATTAATTTCTCTCTAATTTGACATGCAAATTTCTTCTTGACCAGTGCTTGATAATTAAGCCCACGGGACAAACTGAATTCCTTTCAAAGCATAAACATTTGTTACAGATTGCTGTAAAGTATATAATGAAAAAACAAGTTTTTACTTTATTAAATGTTTTTTAATAAGCATACAACTATATTTTTACATTTTTTAGGATTATGAAATTTAGAATTTTAAAAGACTTTTTTTTTTAAAATTCACTTTAATTAAAGGTCACAGTGACCTTGAAATAGGCCGCGACACACCTTCTACTTTAGATGTATACTTTTGCCAAGTTTGAAAGCTCTAGGTCTAATAGTTTTCTAGTTATGAGCCGGACAGGATTTTTCCATATTTGGCTATAGCATCTTTATTAAAGGTCAGAGCGACCTACTTTTTGTGCGCGACACACCGTCTACCCAAGAAGTATAAGTTGACAAAGTTTGATAATCCTAGGCCTAATAGTATTCAAGTTATGAGCCGGACAGGAATGGACAGACGGACAGACGGACGGACGTGAAGCACGGGCCTGACATAATCGTACCGTCTTAAGACGGGTGTATAAAAAGTATAAAAATGATTATAAGCTCAACAGAAATATTATACGCATATAATTTACATAAAACTATAACATGTATAAAACACATGTTAAACACATGTTTCATATGTATAAATACACAGTGTATTTATTTTTACACGTGTTTAACACATGTGAAACATATATTTAACATGTGTAAAAATAAACACCCTATACACGTGTGCTCTTTTTATGTGTTTTACACGTGTAAAAAATACATGTTAAACACACGTTTAACATATGTTTAACACATGCGGACATTTTTCCTGTGTATATGTGAGTATTGTGGTCGATGATAACATTTTGATTATAAAACCGTCGCTCTATGCATTATTTCACATGTAGACTTGTTAAAATTTGTTTAGTTTGGTCAATGTGTTAATGTGTTCACAACAAAGACATTTCAAATCTGCATATTTCATGAGGCTCAATGGATTACAAACCCTGACTTTCTCTGTATATAATTAATGAAATGATAAAATTACATCCGGAAAAGTATTTTCAATTTTAGTGACAATTTTAGTTGAATTATGATCTTTTTATAAATCAGTAATTTTGAACTCCAATGAAGTAGCTAAAAAGAAAAAAAAATACGCTCTATCAAGGTGGATTGAGAAAAGGAATGATCAACATTGAAATAAATTTAAAGGAAAAATAACAAGAATCTTTCTCTACCTTTATCACTCTCTCTTTATCTTTGAATAAGGAAAATTGATTGAGAAAAAAATACCCTTTGACTCGTCCTAAGTTTATTTTACTAACACATCTGATTTTACGTTGTCTTACCTTCAGAGCTGTAGTCTTCTCTTCCAATTAAAAACCAACCAAAAAGACTGTTAAGGTTCAAAGAATGTATGAAAGCTTGTTTTTCTTTTGAAATTTTCTTCACATATTCCACAAATTTATTCCTATTTTCCTCAAAAAACACAACAGATGGAAGTTTTACTGAAATTAATAAAAATATATATTAATTTATAATATAACTTATTTTACAGCTGTGGTTTATCATTGAGGACTACTCATAGTTATGCAATTATTCACGGAAGACTATTGATTTAAGATTTTCATTGTTTTAAAGAAAGGGGACCAAATAAAGATTTTTTTTTAAATAGATATCTACATGTATTTGACTCCCAGTGCGGAACATTGATGTGAGATTGCATGCAGACACTTTTGCATTTTGATCGCTAAATTGAATAAATAATTTCATCAATTCAATAAAATTATACGGAGATTTAAGAATTTTTTCGGGAATTTGAATAGAATTCTCGTCGTTTTATAATTGTGTTTGTGATGGAAGAAACGTAATTTGCATCGGGGTCGAATTATGCGCTGATTTATTGATTACCTCTTCTGCGAAGGTTGTACTTAAACTTTTCATGTTCGAAATATCAAAGGAATTATGGATAAGTTTGGTTGGAATGCCAAGGTCTTAACAATAGTTGGAAACGCGGGATAATTTATGCATTACGACCTAACTTGATATGCAAAAATTACTCTAAAGTTTCCAACAATCGTTGATTTCCCTGTCATACTCAACAAACTCTACAGTGATTGTGTTTCATTTACATTTATACATGGAATAAAATTGTAGGAGTTTACTTTCACGGCGCTTGAAGCCGGGACAGTGATTTCCAAGGTTTACGTCCATGCTTTAACTTAACAACATACCAAGTTTGATCATTTTAAACCTCTCGTCATTCAGAATATTCATTTAAAGACGATTTTTATTCAGAGAGCAATGAATTCCAGTGATAAAAAAAAAACCTACTGAACATTGTTGACATTTGATGGTAGCCATATTCTTTACTTTCAAATAAAAAAGTTTATGACCTACTACTTATCCTATGGCCCTTTATTTTTTTTTTATCAGTAAGTACATGTACTTCAAAAATTTAACGTTTTGATAAAGTATTTTATAAGAGTAAAATAAAGCATGTAAGAAAAAAATTTGGATAAAAAATCTTCTTCTCAAGAACCACTGGGCTAGAAAAGTTGAAACTTACATGGAAGCATCCTGGGGTAGTGCAAATTCTAAATTATTCAAATCATGACCCCCGGGGATAGGGCGGGGCCACAATGGAGATCAAAACTTTTACATAGAAAGATAAAGAAAAAATCTTTCAAAATCTCTGCTCCACTGAGCCGAAAAGCTTTATATTTTTGGGTATACTTCAAATCATGACCCGCAGGGGTAGGGCAGGGCCACAATGGGGAATCAAAGTTTTACATAGAAATATAAAGGAAAAATCTTTGAAAATCTTCTTCTCAAGAACCACTGAGCCAGAGAAGCTGAAATATTTATCATCCTGGGGTACGGTTTACTTGTTCAAATCATGACCCCAGTGTACAACTGTGGAATTTTTAATTAAATATAAAGGAAAAATCTTTGAAAATCTTCTTCTGGAATGGGTTTTGTTTATTTTTATGATATTATATAAATCATGACCCCCCGGGGATAGGAGGGTGGGGAATCAAGTTGAAATTAAAGACACCCTCAAGGAAAACCACTGAGCCAGAGTAGCTGACACCTGGAAGCATCCTGGGGTAGTGTAGACTAAATTGTTCAAATCATGACCCCCGGTGGTTGGGCGGGGCCACAATGGGGAATCAATGTTTTACATAAAAATATAAAGGAAAAATCTTTTAAAATCTTTATAATACTGAATGTCTTCTTAAGCATTCTAGGGTAGAGTAAAAAAAAATCACGGGGGTAGGGTGGGGCCACATTGGGGAATCACAGTTTTACATAGAAATATATAGGAAAAATCTTTGAAAATTTTCTTCTCAAGAACCACTGAGCCAAAAGATTTACTGACCTTTTTATTGTTTGTTTGATACAATGCTGGTTCAATGTTTAACATAGAAATATATAGCAAAAATCTGAAAATCGTTATTTTATGGAAGCATACTGGGGTAGTGTAGATTTCAAATTGTTTTAATTATTATCAGTTAGGTGGGGTGGGTTTACAATATGTATTACAAGGGGGAAGTTAAAGAACAGAATGGCCAAAGCTTCTCAGGTGAGCGATGTGGCCCATGGGCCTCTTGTTATAGTAAATACATGCACTTCAAAAATTTAACGCGTTAAGTATTTTTTAAGAGTAAAATAAAGTATGTAAGAAAAATTTTGGGTTAAGAAATAATATGGAAAGTGAAAGAGTGATGAAAGCAGTGGTGTTTAATAAACACGTATGTGGCAGTCTATGATATATAGTTTACCCGTTGTATTATTTATACTGTTTTGTATCTAAAAAGAAAAATCTGAATAATACATAAGAACTCAGAAATATTTATCACCACTGCTTCTGAGTGTACAACTATTTTTAATCAATGATCAAAATCTTTAGATATGTTATCTGAAAGTATAATAATCTTTATTGCATACTCATCCTTTGAAAGAATAACAGATATCTATCTTGTACAACTATAAAATGAAAGCAAAAAAGATAATCATCTGTTGGTAATCTTTAACAAGTTTTGACATTTTTCAACAATTCAAGTCAAGAACGATGATTATAAACTGCTATAAATCCAGAGACTTAACAAGGTGCTAATCTTTCTGACTAATCAGATAACGACATTTAGGCAAACCCATGAGAAAATAAATAATACACATGGTTTTAAACTATTTTTAACTAAAGAATTTTTTTTCAAAACAAACCTTTGTTAGTGTAAACTTTTTATATATTTAGGAATTGTACATGACAATTCTACCGTGAACAGACACAAAAATGCTAAGAATACTTCTAAAAGGATTTAAACTATGTTACTACGAGATATATATGCAAAAAGGTTAAATTATGTCAAGCATTTTGATAAAAAAATAAGGCAGATTGTCAAATTTCGCAGCCTGGTATAGAAATGTTTTCAAATGGGAATATAAAATATCATAATTGTTACCTGTGTATATATAACATGATCTGTTAGGTATGTGTGGTAAGTAACGGTGAAATAGCATTATTCTACATTCTCTTTCAATTATGCTCTACACGCCTTTTGTGTCCATATAAATTGTTATAACATGATTTTGGCGCTCGTGAACCCGTGATAATGTAGAACTACATGTAATCCATACCACCAACATGTAAATGCAGTACACCTATACCTATGAAAACGGTTAAAATGGGTCATATCAAATAATGCCTTCGTTATTTTCTTTAATATATATCATTTAATTTCTGGAGGTTAATCTTGAAATGATTAAACACGCTACTAGTTTAACCGTAAAGAAGTTCATTTAAACATGTTAAGGGTAGATTTAATTCTATCTGGTTTTTTTTTAGTTGAAATCTTCTACTTTCGAGAGGATGGGAGCTCTATTAAGATTAAGATAAATTTAACTCTTAAGAAAATCGAGAGAGTTTTCTTTGAAAGGAACAAAATCAAGAGTTTCCTTTTACGATAAAATTTTATCTTAAGATTTTGTTGTTAAAAGGATTACAGTACCAGAATAAGACATGAATCAATACAAAACATTAATATATGATTTTTCAGATAATTTTAAAGTAAAAAAAACTTTCTATAATGCATAAATTTAAGATTTTATCTTGTAAATGTTCAACAGAACATTTTTTTTCAAAAATGTTTTAAAAATGTTCTTTTATTATTTTTTGTAGAAGTGTTACTCACACTTTTTTTGAATTGCCTCTCTGACTGTTTCAATGCTATCTTGAGTCGACTCATTCCTTTCCACCATGACATGACGTAGGACGTCTACTCCAAGTCTTTGTATAAATAAATCCTCTAAACTCTCCGGTAGGAACAAAACTTTTTTGCGGCATATGTTAATTTTATCATCTTCATACCACCACGGTCGTACGCACTCCAACAAAGAGTCCACTGAAGATAACTTGATATAATCCTCGTAGTACTCGTCAGTTATTAGACAATTCTTCACGAAGTAACTCATCACCTGATGGCGGACATCATCTGATATAAAACTGACTGAGTTGTTCTTCTTGATTAAAACTCTATAAATATCAATCAATTCAGTGATATCACTTTGGGACATTCTTGACCCGCACCTTAATAAAGGGAAAGCAGTTTGAAGTTTTGTCAATAATTCCTCCCAAGGTGAGCTTAAGGATAAACTGTAACCCTCTGACATCAGAATAGAAACTAGAATGTTCCATTTTGTCCGAGAAAGCGCGAGATTATCCAATGCTGAAATAAAAATGGTTTATCATTATACATGACCGTATGTTAATTTGAAATGTACTTTTTTCAGAAACTTCTAAAATTAATCTTTCTTGTATGCGTATCTTATTTATTTTATGATTTCTAACGATCATTTGCAGACAAAAATACCGCAACATTCATTAAGTATCAATGTAGATGGTTTCTTCGTTATCTCGATATATTTTACCTTTTCATTCAGTCGCATATAAGGAAAACAAATGTCGATATATCACGATGGGTGTTGAGATATCATGATTCATACTCGACGTCCAGAATATCTATATATAATTCTATTATTGCAGAACAGACAGGTCTTTTACATAGATTACATGATTTCAATGCATAGCTCAGAACAACAAATCCTATATATTTGCTACAAAATCTAAGAAGTTATTTTTGAAATGTTGTATGTAAAACATATTCTATCTGAATATCAAAATGCTCCTAAAATCAATACTTTAAACAAGTGTTCTGCGCTTTACTTGAAATTTTGTCAGGACATGAAAAAAAAAATCCTCTACAAACTTCAAGCCTTAAAAAAATCGACATCTAAGATACAGAAAAAATGATTTTTATAAGTATTTATACATTTGAACTAACACATTTATAGTGATGTTATATATAAATTCATAAACTAGTGACTTTTCAGTTATACATGCAAATGTGATCTGCAGATTTGGTAGCAATGAGTTGTAATATAATCATGCATTATAATTTCCGAGAAACGAGTAAAGCATTTTCATCTTTATTGTGAAAAAAAATGTTGAAACGAGTTAAAAGGAGAGTAAGTTGAAAGTCAATGGGAGGAATTAAAAAGATAGGCGGTATTAATAGATACGTAAAATTCTTTGTGGAGGAAACTAAATAATTTATTCTTTATATCTCCAACAACGAAAGCCCGTTGAGGCCAATTCAGAGAAACAAATATTTTTTATTGCGTTTAATCGCAATAATTATTTCGTTTAAACGCAAAACATTGCGTTAAATCGCAATAATTATTGCGTTTAAACGCAAAACCTTGCGTTTAATTGCAATATTCATCGTGTTTAAACGCAAAACACTTTGCGTTTAATCGCAAAAGATTGCAATTAAACGCAATCTTTTGCGATTAAACGAAATAATATTGCTATTTTACGCAATAATTATTGCGTTTAAACGCAATAATATTTTTGCGTTTAATTGCAATAATTTTTGCGTTTAATTGCAATAATTTTTGCGTTAAATATGATACGGAAGATTAATTTTTTTTAGCTTTTGCATTTACTTAATTTTCAAAGCTGTTGGATACAGAAGCCAATTGAGGCCAGTTCAGAGAGAAATATTTTTTATTGCGTTTAATCGCAATAATAATTTAGCAATAATTTTTGCTATAATAATAATTATAAAGTAAATGCAAAAGCTAAAAAAAATTCATTTTCCGTATCTATTTTGGGTGCCCCCTGTTTTCCAAGACCATTGCAAGGTGTTTAATTGCAGCCCGGAGGACCGGGCTGCTCTATACATATAAGTTTAAGTGTTGGTGTATAGGGATTGGGCGGGAGTAGTTATTCAGAATTAAAGGTTTTCTAAACATTGAAAAGATTATTATATTATAATCAGAATGTTCTTTCCTTTATAAACTAAGAGATGCATAATATATTTACTTCCATAAAGTGAATCTGTAAAAATATATATGTTTTTCATATTTAATATATAAAGTTGCTTAGCATTTACTATGGAAAAAATGACAGGTCCCTTTTTTAGAACATCAAATTTTACTTCTCGTATAAAAACGTACTCTGCACAGTTCGTGTTTTATATTCGAAAATTGAATATTAAATTACATTTTTGAATACAAGTGATGCATTTGTCTAACTTCAATTTATATTTTATGCAGCCAACATTTACTTGAGGAAATGATCAAGTTTAAAATGGAATCTTTTTTGTTTGATTTTTATCCGACTATGAGTTCAGTCGCAACTTCTCGTGCCTTTCCGACTAGCGGAAAAACGACCTCGAATGTACTAGGAAGACACCATGCAACTCCCCCTTTTCACGATCTTTGAAATAAATGCATGGGGACCTTTTATCTGTGGAATAGGGTATTTAACTCTATTCAATGTAATGATATTACCTAAAATATACTATAGAAGGAACTTCATTCTCCGTTTACACTATATTTGAATAAACAGGAAGATGTATAAATTTTTAACATCCGGTGATGTTAATACATTCGAGGTTGTTTTTCCGACCTCTGACGGAAAGACCCGAAGATGATGCGATTGACTATGAGTTTTCAAAATATTCGCCACTATCGTCTCCATCCATTAGACGCATGCCTTTTCACACATATCAAAGCAGTTTGATGATCAAGATTATTTCCATTGTTTACGTTATTTATTTCCCGGGCGACAATTGCTGGTTACATCAATGTTTTCTTGTTATTTCCTATATATTATTCTGAGTATCTATGGCAATAAATAACTATTGGTCGCTATTTGAATATATGAAATCGTCAAGATAAAAAAACAATCCATCAAGATCAAAATATATTTAGAACAAAGATGTTTGTTAACTTAATCTAATTTAGGAATTATTTTGCAAACAGTAGTATGACAATTCTCATGTAAAGAAACACGGATTGAAGTCTAAGAATAAATTCTATGTGGGATTAAAATCTGTTACTTTTAGGTAGCAAAGATTAAACAAAATTTGTTGTGCTGAGAATGAAAATGCCTTAGGAAAAATTTCTGGAAATAAAATAATTATTTAAAAATTCAGTATAAATAACATTTTCATCCCTAGACAGTTTTTAAAGATTGATGTGCTTGTTAAAAGTAATGCTCAAGAAAGATGAAAACATTAGCAGTGTGTGTATGGAGGACCCTAATACTTTCTTTTATTCATGCATTGATGTCATTCTTTGAAAAATGACGTTTCACGACTGCAATGATGAGGCGAAAACAAAGTTAGTAATGCGTTAACGTGTTGAACCCCACTTGACTTTACGAAAAATACTCTGTTATAAATATGTTTTAATTAAATATTTTCACCGAAGGAAAGAAGCTTACATTTTAGATTAAATATCATTTAAGGTAGAACGCGGGTTAACTGTCTACCTGAAAACATAGGCTAAAAATTTGTCCGCTAACTCCTCTTGTTTTAAATTTTTCTCTACTGAAAAACTTTGAGATTCGTCTGCGTGGTTAGATTCAGGCGCGGATCCAGAATTTTTTTCAGGGGGGTCCACCCAGTCAAAAATAAAACCTTAACTCGCCCAAACGTGAAAAACCTATTTCGTGGGGGGGGGGGGGGGGGAGGGGAGGGTTGTCTTTGACTTCTATTGCCTCAAATCTTTATCTTTTCATACCCATTTCACACATATTCATGTTCTCCAGCGGGATCAGCGTTTTCCAGGGGGGGGGGGGATCCAAGGTGACTTTTTTCTTGCTTTAGTATACACATTTTTTTAACCGTGTAAATTCCAGGGGGGTCCTGATTCCCCCCACCCCCCCCCCCCCCTCTAGATCCGCGCAAGAGATTGTAATCGTTATTCAATCGCACTAATGTTGATGAGAATAGGTGACGTTTTCTGAAACAAATATATTGTAAATGGCTATTTTCTGCTGGTATACACAATTCAATACCATAATCATAACATTAAAACGAAGCAGACAAATTTTATATTACTCGATACAATAAATGTGAAGTAAATTTTAGAATCGATCTATTAAAAAAGAATATTATGTGTTCTCGCTCATTTTCCCGCAAAAAAATCTTGAAAGTTTTACAATTTTTCATCAAAAGTATTACATTTTCACCATGACGTGATATTACGTTGGTACGACGTCATTATTTTCGTATGCCTACTCGAAAAAAATTTTGAATTAATCAACAATTCACTCAAAATCAAGCATACAATCAGTGAATTCAATTTCCCGATATAATCATTGCTAAGTTTACCAACAGCGTGGCACAATTTTAGTGTCATGTGTTTTCTTTTTCTCGCAATAAACGTATTAAAGGCCAGGGGTGCAAAAATTATAACAAATGTGCATCGATGTAAGAAGAAAAACATCTTACTGGATTTGAGAACATTTTCAAACATACATATTTTTTCCATCATTTTTTATCTATTAATTAAATGTACCCTATTTCAAATCGGGAATATCGTTGTTGAATTAAAGTGGCTACATTGTCCTAAATTGTATACATTTATACTTCATAGAATGAATTAATTTTGTCTATCCCAGATTTGACAGACTTCAGGTTTCCCTTTAAATTGTCGCAAAGGCCATTTCTTATCATTATTTGCCGATATATAGAATACTATAGAAAGCATACAGTATACTTTTGAAAACAGGTATTGATACTATAGAAAACATTACTACTATATACTCGTGTCCCCTCAATTTAAACGCCTGATACCCCCCTCCCTCCTTTTTTTTTTATTTTAACACTTTCACATGTACATATAAAATAATTTTCATCATTTGGTACACAATAACATCAGGTCTACACACAATATAGAGTTATGTTTATAGAATGTGAAAGGTGTTTTTTTTTTTTTTTTTTTTTTTTTTTAAAAGAAAAAGAAAATGGGGGGGGGGGGGGGGTCAGCAAGAAAAAAACCTTTCTTCTATTACAAATAATACAAAAAAAATCACTCAAATAAATTATAGGATGTACATGTATATATAAGCTTGTATATGTAACTCTATTACTTACAATATATCACAAATATTTTGCCAATGCCTTTCATATTCTTCATATTTACAATTCTTCATCAATAAAAATTTTTCAATCAAAATTCTATCTGTGATCCTCTTTAATACAGCTTCAGCATCTATTCTTGGAACATTCTTATATTTACAGGCAAAAATAAATTGTTTTACAATAAGTATTAAAAGGTTTTGAAATTTATAAACATTCATATTTTCATATTTACCAAATAGTATTGCTTTTTTATCAAAACAACAATGAATATTAAACTTATTTAAAA